CTAAATGATAGGTAGTAAACAGTGATGGTAAGCCTCTCATATGGTTAAATGCTTTTCAATCTATTACCCAGTAATGTTCTATACTACCTAGAGCTGAGGCATGGTATGCTGAGGCCCGATTACCTGAATGAGCAAAAGCTAAGGTTGGAGGAACATTTATCTAAATGACTATTGATTTTTTAGTATTGTTATTGATTTTTAGTATTGTTATTGATTTTTTTTAGTTTTATATAATAAAAATGAAAATTAAAGGAACATTGTCTCAAAATTTATACATGGCAAGCTTGGTATTAATTAATGTTGACAACTTTTGATCTAAATGACTATAAGAAGAAAAACAATGTTTTGCTTATTTCCTAGAGAAAAATGGTGATGGTGGATAATTGTTAGGAATGGCAATGGGGTGGAGTGGGGACGGGGAGCCTTTCCCTATCCCCATCCCTGCTGGCAGGGACAAGTTATTCCCATCCCCGTAACTCATGGTTTTTCTATGATATCAATCATTTTGTTACTACAACAAAATTGGTCTATAACGGCAAAATTATTCGTTGTTGTAAACCTATGTTTTGGATACAATTTTGTGTTTTTTTGATAATTAACTTTTTGACCAAAGTTAATGCATTGGAGCATTTAATGATGGGCCTACACTTCTGCATCGATTTCAAACAAACAAGATAAATACAAAAATGGTTTAAAATGTGAATTGTGTTTGCATTTATGAACCGAAAAATGGGTAAATATGTAGTGTACATATTTGCATTTGCATTGCAACCAAATGCAGCCTAAGAGACGGATCAGTCATGTGTTGAATATTTCTCTGCAACTGCTCAATCATGACAATGGCAACGCCCCTGCTTCTTCCTCAATCTTAGCTTGCTCTAAATTGGTGATTTCAATGATGATGCCTCCTTTAAGCATTTGGCAAGTCCAACTTTGATGGAGAATGGATTCTTTTTCTTGGCATCAGAGATGACAAATTTACCCTATCTTGTCTGAATGCAGAGTTCTTATAGGGATGGAGAGGGAGACAAAGACGGAGTGGACTTAAAAGTGGGTTTTCCTAGTGTACTATAAAAGGGTATTTTAGGAATTTTTAGAAACATATCAGTCATGTGATGTTGCATGTGAAAGGAATGTAAGAAAAATTTAACGGCAAGGGAGGTTTTAGACAATTGTCAAAAAACTTAAGGGCACTTTAAGATAGTATGTAAAGAATAAGGGTAGGGTTAATCAATTTCCTAAACCATAAGGATGCTTTAAGGAATTTGCCCTTAGTTTTCATGTAATTATAAGAGTGCCATAAAAAATAATGATTAATCTTTTTTTTTCATTGTGTGTATAACTTTGTTTTTTACTTAATTACAATATTGCCACAAATTGTTATTATTCTCTTTACTTTTCATTTATCACTCATTCTCTATTAGTAGGGTTGTCAATGGGTCATGTTAAACTCAATGAAGCTGATGGACTAGAATCTATCGGGTCGATTCTGGTTCCAAGAATTGAAATTGATTCTTGATATATTATACCAATTCGCATTGGGTTGGAACCGGATCCACCCAGCCCCGAATTGATTTAGACCTGACTTGAGCTATATCTATCTATATATATATATAAAATAAATTAATGTTATATAATTATTTTCAATAGGTTTATTATAATTAGGTCCATCGAGTTAGACTCGATTCTCCCGAGAACTAATCAATTTGGTTATGGGTCTTAACATTACAAACCCCTATCAAGTCCAATTCGGTTTTGGGTCCTTAGTCATTCTTGTCGGGTTTGTTCCAGTTCTACTTGGACTTGCCCCAAACTCGACCTATTGATAGCCCTCTCTCTCTCTCTCCTCTCCCACTATAACACTATTTTTAATTTTTATTTATCTTTATTTATCTCCATCCACTCTCTCGATGAACTTTTAATATTATTTTGACAATAATAAATGTTTTTAATATATATTTTTCAGTTAATTAATTAAATCTTCTAATTATGTTTCATCTAGGCAAGCCCTGAGTTGGGATTGAAGTATTGTAAACAAACACAACTTGAAAACTTGTGGGCCTAATACATGCTCAAGATTGGGGCCAAGCTTGAACAAAAAACCTAGGTTAAAGTCTTAAATTTTTGAGTTAGGTTGGGCTTAGGTTGGTTGGAGCCAAGCTTGATTTGGAAATTTGTGAGTCTAATGTGAACTTGAGCTAAGCTAAAGTATTGGGCTAAAATTTTGCTGGGCCAAGCCCAGGCTATGTCTAAACACAAAACTTTGGACCAAGCCTATAATTTTTGGGCTAAGTAAGGCCTTTTCATGTATATCTCTTTAAAGTCTCAATCGAATTCCATGAAAAAAAGCAAACTAATATTTTAAAACATTATCTCCACTTAAATATATAATTTAAGATTTTTATTAATTAATTTAAAATTATTAATTATAATTATAAAATTAATTATTTTAAAATTTAAATTATTACTTAATTTACTTCATTTACCCAATAACTAACTGTAAATAATATTGACTATTTAATGTGTTTTTATTCTTATTAATTTATTTTAAAAAGCAAAAGAAACAAACAAGATAACTATCATTATCTCTTTTCATGTTCCGCGTGATAGCGTGGTAGCTGGTTCGCTGCTGCAAAACTATTTCGATTCGTCTCAGATCTCACTATCTCAGTGGGCTGGCCCAGGCTGACCGGACGGCTGGGTCTTCACAATCACACCCTGGCCTCCAACAATCGAACCGTGGTCTGGGCGTTTCGCACATCTGCTGACGCAAATACGGTCACTGTCAAGTGTTAATTTCGCATAGCTGCCAGATATTCCCCGGCTGCCGCCTTCCATTTTTGAATGACCTATCTCACTTACCTGTAGGCCTGTAAATGGAGCTAATTCATATTCGACAGCTTTTTAAAATAATCAACTAAATTCGAATTTATCTAATAAATCGAATATCCGAATTTAATTTAAGTTTGATCGACTAATCACTACTGTTTAAAAATTGTATAACTCTATCCTATAAGGGCGCCCCACAAACGCCTCACATGAATAGAAAATATCGCCCATATTTATCATGGAGGAATGTTTTTAATACAAGGCCACGGGTGATCGGTGCCGTGGGGCACCGATCTGATCTGATGACAATAACTGAATACAAATTCCCACTATCATCAATCATGATCTTCAAATACATAAGACAGATCCCTGCTGAATAAATTTAGGTTCCGTCCTCACACTGTCCTTACAGCCCTTGCAGCTCCAGAATATCAATGCATGGCTGCAAAGACTGTGAAGACGGTGTGAGATGAGTTTTATGAGAAATAAAATCCGAATTTCTATTGAATATGGCTTTCTTTTCTCTCGGTTTTTTCAGTTTCAGTAAACAGCAAGTGGCAAATACAAAATAAATTGTTAGTAACCAGTATTGACAGTAAAATTCTCTTTTTCACTTTGTATTAACAAACATTAGCTTCGAAGTAACAAGTAAAATTCTCTTAAGACGACCCTTTACGGAGATGAGGTACAAGTAACAAGTTCTTGCACTTGTGTTGTTGGTGTCAGTGTTTTTGAATTGTTGTTGATTCGGACGGTTGGGTTGTTCGGCGCAGAAACAGTTCAAGCAATCAATTCTATTTTATTCCAAATCTAATTTTTGACAAAAAACTGTTAAATTGGTCAGCAATCCACTGACCCTTATAGTTAAACAATCAACATGTTTTAATGGTTTTGATTATTTTTTAATTAAAACGACTTATCTGTTTTAACTGAATAATCAAACCATCGATCTTGAAACCGGTGGTCAAAATGTTCAATTTTGAGTCGTTTTTTAAGGTTAGTACAGTTCAGACTGTTTTATCTATTTTCTGGTGATGTTTTTTCATCATTCAAATAAATAAAAAAGGGTAATTTAAAATTTTGAATAATTAAAATAATTAAAGGAAAACTTTAAATGTCTTTATCCGAATTTAAATTTATACCCGATAACATCTCACAACATATTTTCGCCGTATATTAAAAACATCTCCCGATAATAATACCTGAATCAATAATATCATCATCAGGAGATATTCCCAATGCAGAATGAGGATGTACTATGAGGCGCCCCAATCTGAAAATACAGGATGTTTGCGACTGACCCATAGTACACGGGTCGTTGTAATTTACCAAAAATGGAATAACTTTTCTCGTCGTTTATATCCATATTCCAACTTTATGCACAGCCAGTCCCTCACACAGAACTAATGTAGGCTTATTATTTATTGTTTTTCCTGGTTTTCTGTGCCTTGTATTGCCTTGGATTGTGTGGATGAGTTGTTGGGTTCAGGGTAAGACTGACTACATTCTAGTAATGACTTCCCTTTTATAATGTAATGGTTAATAAAAAAGTATAAAATACTAATATCCACCGAGACGTCCAAACAATAACTACTAATAACTATTATTATTATTATTGGAGATGAAACGGTCAATTGAATAAAGAAAAATATTAATCATACAATTATTCTATTCTATTTGTTTGTATTTCTTGTAAATTTTAAAAATTTAAATTTTTTATAATGACATAGGTGGATATGCTTTTAACATTCTAAAAGTAGTTGATAGATATTATTTTAAAATTTATTAATAATTAGATGTCATTAGACGCTATATCAATAAAATAGTAAATAAAGGCTTAATTGTTAAGGGAAACGTTAAAAAGAAGTTTTTCCGAACAGTGAGCATGCATATAAATCAAAACCAAAGTTCATTAATAATTATACATATGAACCAGTATCATAGAATAAATGTTAATTTAGCGATGACATAGCATCATTTATGGAAATAAGTATTTACTTAACTATTATTATGATAAATTAATTAAACGTACATTGACCGCGCAATCATCTGTTTAACCATGTCATTAGTCAAAAAATGTAAGGTAATGTTTTAATTTGGACAAAAACTCACAAAAGTGATCATGTGCCCTGCTGTTATCAAAAATGGAATGTGCTCGAATCAGACGCTGAGCTGAACATAAACCCAGGTCATTTTCTTCTTCTGTTCTGTGTCATTAATCCGACCGGCACTCCCTGGAAGTTTCAAACCTTTGTAGCTTTTTCTCTCCGGCGAGCTTTCCTCCAATGACAACCTCTCATCCTCTATTTCTTTTATTTGTTCTTCACTCAGCCGTTCTGGTTGCCGCTCAGAGTTACCGAGCTTCTAAGAACACTACCAGCCCATGGCAGACGTTACATGGTGCATATCTATTTTTCTTCTTCTTCTACTACTAACATTCTGTGTGTGCATGTATTCCCTTCCTTCTTTGTAGAATGCAGAGGTTTTGTCTTCGTTATTTTGTTGTCTGAATAAAAAAAAAAAGAGTTTCTTCTTCTACTCTGTCTCTCTGCCCTTCTGTTGCTTCATTTCTAAATGTTTCTTAGACGTCAAGTGGTGTGTACTGCTATTGCTACTACTTCAACTCTTTGTGCATGTTTCTCTCTGCCCTTCTGCTTGGTTTTTTTCTGGGGAATGCTGGATTATTTTATGACATGAACACAAAAGAAGGAAAAGGAAGACAATTTAAATGCATTTGCTTGTTGTTATTATTTTAATTTTATTCCGAACTTTGATTGAAATACAACGAAAGGTTCATGAGGAAACGTCTCTTAAGAGAAATTTCATTTTAGAAACTTGAAGATATTTTCTCTCTAAGAAAAACTTTACTGCCTTTATTTTTTTCTTTTTTTTTTCCCCTGAGAAGAAGCTCAAGACGGAAACTTGTGTCGTGAAAGATGGATGATCATTGATACACATGAGCATGATTTTCTTTCTTGAATTCGTATGTTTCCTTGAAAATGTCTTTTCATAAGTGTTACTGTTTTTATTGGACGGGTAAGGGGAGGAAGAACAAACGAAAAGACAAAAACAAAAAAAGATGGAGATGTCCTTGTTACTGTTTTGATCTATATTTAATTGTATGTTATTGGGTCCTATGTGTTTATTTATTCTCATATGGAAGTATTCTTTCTTTTCCTTTTATACGCAACTAATTAATCAGTGTTTATTATGATAACATATATCAGTTAAAGAATTATGGACCAATCAAGCAAGAGAACAGGAGTGCCAATAAAATCTCAATACTTAAGTCAATGGATGGGTGCATGCTTAGGTTGCTACATCAGTCAACATAATTTCAGATTTTGAGTTGTTTTCTATTGGATCACATTATTAGATGTTGGGAGAATTTGACCTAAGACATTTGGCTTATGCTTCTTTAAATAGATAAGTGAATCTTAGTTATTAGAATTTAGAGAAGTGCTAAAAAATACTAATCAATTGCTCAGTTGAAACTCAAATGTCTAAACTATTCTCTGGGTATACAGATACTGACAATAGTAAATGGACTATAAAAATTACCAGCTAGTATACAAGTGCTGTAATTGTAAGGACAAATTTTCAAATTGTGTATATCAAGAGGCCAAGGGGTCAGGTTCATCTTGATAATCAGGAATAAGTGATTATCAGCTTCAATGTATGATATATCATATATGGTTCTAGAAGATAGAATTTCAGACAATGTGAAAGTAATGACTGAGTTATTTTTCTTTTACATGAGTGCATTGCCTCGGAAAATAAAAATATCTGGTCTCAGGGTGCATAAATCAGAGTCCCAGCCAGTTTAGTTTCTGACCATGCAATGGCAAAAAGATAAATAAATAAATAAAGATAATAAGAGTATGCTACATCTTGTTGCTGATAGGTTGATGCTGTGGACTATAATGTTGGACTGAAGACACAATGAACTTATGCTGATATAAATGTTATACATTGTTTGAGTTAATATCTGGTAAACTTATGCTGCTTCTTCACCCACCTATGTTTAAACACATGATGGATCATGGATGGGAGCCTCATTTTTATCTTTATATTGTGTTTGATTGTGTAATATTGTTCATTTATACTTGCAAAGAAGATTTACACCTCAACCATTTTGCTTTTATGTCTTTATTTATTTTTTCATTGATCAAGTACAATCTTCTTGGTGTCTATTCAGAATTTGGTACATAGACTACTAGTATTCACATGTTAGCTAGAATTTTTTTGTAGACATATTGTTAGTGCTTTGGTATTCTTGTAGAGCTATGTGAAGCAGAACCTATCTGTTGACATTTTTCCTTTTTGCAGGAAATGCACCTTTAGTCATAGCGAAGGGTGGCTTTTCAGGGATCTTTCCAGATTCCAGTATTGATGCCTATGAGTCCACTTTATTATTATTGTCCAATGTAATCTTATGGTGCGATGTGCAATTGACAAAGGATGGAGCTGGGATATGCTTTCCATACCTCAATCTAGATAACTCTTCTGACATTACATTCTACATTCCAAATGATTCTAAAAATAATAGAATATACTATGTCAATGGGCAACCTATGCAAGGACACTTTTCCGTGGACTTTACCTTGAATGACTTGAAAAATTTCTTCCGTAAGTTCTCAACTTTTTGAGTTGTTTCTAATGCAATATTGCAATTTTCTGCATGAATAAATCTAGAAAAATCGAATGAGATATTTTGCCACTGATATAAAACTGTTGAGATTTTTCAAATTCTTAATAGACTAGAATCATACTGCTTTTCCTTTTTGCTAACTTCATTCTGATGTTAGTTCAACAATTTCGTAAATTAACTATATCATCTTTTGCTTTGATTTTATAATTTCATATTTTGAACCTGATACGCTTTTGTTGTTGGGGATTCTTGAAATTGTTATAAGGGTATGCAGAGATTAGAGATTGGAGTTGCTAAATCCCTAATGTACAAGGACTAGTAATTGACACCTTTCTACACCAAGTCTGCAGAATGTTAACATTGTTATTAAAAGAATCCTGATTCGCCGTTCCATTTTGTTTAATGCCATATCCATTGCTAAATTATGAGTGTTTAAACTCGAGTTTGTATTGTACTTTTCGCTAGCTGCATTGTAGTCCTGAAGCTAGCCTTTGTTCCTATTTAATGAAATGGCTTCAGATTTTCAGTTATTTATCAAAAAAAAAAAGAGTGCTTAAATCATTTCTTACTACTTTGATGTATGCTCCTTTTCATTTGCCCCTAGCCCTTCTAGCTTCTTCAACTTGTAACTGATCACTTTTTCTTATGGGTGTTGTAGGCGGTCTTTATACAAACCATCTAAGTCTACTTTCTCTCATTTTATCACCTATTAGAGATACTCCTAGGTTCCTTTGAATGACCTCAGTAAACAACAAGCACCATGGAACCTACTCCTTTATATGTTTAATCAGTTCTTCTATAATTGATGCAAATAAATAAGGGCTTACTGCTGAGCCTTGGTGAAGACCCTTTGTAACTGTAAAACCTGATGTCTCTCCCCCAAGTATTCTAAAATTGGTTGTTTCTCCCTCATACATATCCATAATTAGGTCTATATACCTATTTGGAATCCCTTTCTTTTCTAAGACAAGGAGACTGACTCTCCTCTTTTCTTTTCACCCTGATTGCTGATGTACCTGGGAGATTGATCCATAGAGCAGACTCAAGGAATCTGATAAAAGGGTGGAGAGTAGGAAGGGAGGAGGTTCCTCTAACACATTTACAGTTTGCAGATGGCACAATCTTGTTCTGTAAAGGAGGGGACATTAATTGGATCCGGAATTTAAAGTTGGCAATACAACTCTTTGAGTAGATATCTAACCACAAGGTGAGCTTTGATAAGAGTTGTGTGGTGGGAGTGAATGTAGATTAAAGGGACCTACGGGAATTTGCAGGCGAGCTAGGTTGTGCAATGTTGGATTGGTCCTTGACATACTTGGGCCTCCCTTTAGAAGATAATCCTAAGAATATAAGCTTCTGGATTCCGGTAGTGGAGAGGTTTGAGAAGAGGCTGGCGGCTTGGAAGAGAAATTATCTTTCTTTAGGAGGGAGAGTCACTCTGATTAGATCTACCCTAGCTAACCTACCTGTCTACTATCTGTCAGTGTTTAAGATCCCTTCTAGGGTCTCCAATCTCTTGGAAAAGTTAATAAGGAATTTTCTGTGGGAGCCTAGAGAGGAGAAGAGTATTTGCACTCTTTCTGTGGGAGCCTGTAGTAGATCTTCTGTCATACACTGAGCCTGCCCAGTCTGCATCTGTGTACCCAACTACTTCAAGTTTTCCTCCTGGTTTATACATTAGCCTACGGCCCGGAGCTCCCTTCAGATATCTTACAATTCTAAGAACTGCATCCTAGTGAGGTATACGGGGGTTCTGCATGAATTGGCTCACCACACTGATTGCAAAGGAGATGTTTGGTTTTGTGATAGTCAGATAGGTCAACTTCCCCACTAGTCGTCTATACCTTCCAGGATCTTCAAATACTTCCCCTGTATCACTGCTCAACTTAACATTTGGTTCCATAGGGGTTTCAGCCGATTTTGCACCTAATAGTCCTGTTTCTTCCAGTAGATCAAAAACATATTTTCTTTGACACAGATTTACACCTTGTTTTGACCTGGAAACTTCTATGCCCAAGAAATACTTCAATGTCCCAAGGTCTTTTGTTTGAAAATGATTTTGCAGAAATACCTTTAGTTTGTCAATCCCCAATTTGTCACTGCCAGTAATGACAATATCATCCACATAGACTACTAATAAAATCTTTCCAGATTCTGAGTCATAGCTGAACACTGAGTGATCAACCTGGCTTTGCTTCATTCCAAAACTCTTCACCACTTCACTAAACTTCTCGAACCAAGCACGCGGCGATTGTTTCAACCCATAAATTGCCTTCTTCAGTCTGCACACCTTACCATCCTCCCCCTAAGCAACAAACCCAGGTGGTTGCTCCATATATACCTCCTCCACAAGGTCACCATGAAGGAAGGCATTTTTGATGTCAAGCTGAAACAGAGGCCAATCATACATAACTGCCAGGGAAATTAACACACGAACAGAGCCAATCTTAGCYACCGGAGAGAATGTCTCCATGTAGTCCACTCCATACAATTGTGAGTAACCTTTAGCAACGAGTCCAGCCTTTAGACGCTCCACACTACCATCTGGCAAGTATTTAACAGTATACACTCATTTACAGCCCACAACATGCTTACCAGGTGGGAGAGTAGTGAGCTCCCACGTTTGAGTATGTTGAAGAGCAGAGAGTTCCTCCTCCATTGCCTGCCGCCACCCAGGTGAACTAAGAGCTTCTTGGACATTGTTAGGTATGAAAATAGATGACAAAAGTGAAACAAACCGACGATGTGTGGCGGAAAGGCGAGATAATGAAACAAAATTAGAAATGGGATGGAGAGTAGAACTGCGTTTACCTTTCTGTAAGGCAATGGGTAGGTCAAGTTCTGAGGGTTCAGCAACAGGGGCCATGACAGGATCCGCAGATAAGGTAGAAGTTGGAGGAAGGGCCGGTGTCATTCGACGTGTATACATTTGCCGAATCAGTGGTCGTTCAGTAGTGATCTGCACTGGATGAGGTGATGAGTGTACTCCAACAGGAACATCCGGAACTGGATCACTGACAGGAAGAGGAAGAGGAAGTAAGGGTGGAGACGAAGGTGCATCAGGTCCTGAGAAGAAGGGGACAGACTCAAAAAAGGTGACATCAGGACAGACATAGCACTTCCGAGTAATGAAATTATAACACTTGTACCCTTTTTGAGTCCGAGAGTAGCCAAGAAAGACACATTTAATGGAGCGTGTATCTAGCTTGTCTATTCTAGGACTCAGATTGTGAACAAAGCACACAGCCAAAGACACGAGGAGTTAATGGAAATGGAGATAAAGTGGGAAACAAGATAGAGAAGGGCGACCGACCATTAAGAATGAAGGAGGGCATCCGATTAATGAGGAAACATGCAGTGAGTACAACATCACTCCAAAACTGTTTAGGAACACTCATATGATGAAGAATAGACCGAGCAGTTTCGAGGAGCTGACGGTTCTTTCGTTCAGCCACCCCATTTTGTTGAGGAGTGGATGCACATGAGGTTTGATGAATAATGCCATGCTGTTCTAAATACTGTTGAAACGAAGTAAGAAAGTATTCACGGCCATTATCTGAACGAAGAACTTTGATTGGAACACTAAATTGTGTACGTATTTCAGCATGGAATTTTTGAAAAATGGAGAATAATTCACTTCTTTCTTTCATTAAGTAAATCCATGTCATCCTTGAACAATCATCAATAAAAGAGACAAAATACTTGTACCCATTATAAGACTCTATCTTGATCGGGCCCCAAACATCTGAATGAACCAAAGAAAAATGACTCAATATACGACTTTCAACTCTAGGACTGAAGGAAACACGACGATGTTTCCCAAACTGACATGACTCACACTGTAAAACTGACAAATGACTCAAAGATGGAACTAGTATCTTGAGTGCCTTGAGAGAAGGATGTCCCAGTTGACAATGCCACTGTAGAGGAGTAAGTGAAGTCTGAAGAGCAATTGAGGATCCACCACCGTTAAGATAATACAATCCACCAGCTTCATGCCCCCTACCAATCTTCTTCCATGTCTTGAGATCTTGAAAAACACAAGAGGAAGGAAAGAAGGTAACAAAACAGTTAAGAATCTTGGTTAATTTACTAACAGACATAAGATTGAAGGGAAACTTAGGTACATATAGAACAGATGATAAAGAAAGAGAAGCCATGTCAACATTACTAACACCACAGATGGGAGATGAAGAACCATTAGCAAGTGTAACAGTTTTTGATGTGGAAGTTTCAGAAAGAGAAGAGAACACACCTAGAGTCCCGGTCATGTGATCAGAGGCTCCAGAGTCAATAATCCAGGGAGAAGTTTTAGATGACATTCAAGCAATACATGAGTGGGCCAGAGTAGCAGTGGTATGTTGTGAAGTGGTTTGAAGGAACCGTTCATACTCATCACACGGTACACTTACCATCTCCCTCCCAGAAGCAAATGTAGATGTGGAGGGAGTTAGGTCTGCCGGTTTACTATCACTGATATCAACCTCACCAACCACAACATGATTAGCCTATTTAGAGGGAGGGCCATGTAGATCATAACAGAAATTCACCAAGTGTCCTTCCCTGCCACAATGGGTACATTTCCTTGCAGAGTAACTCTTTCCTTTGCCATGGCCTCCCCCTGAGTCACGACCACCACTCCGGCCAAACATGGAACTACCACGGCCTCCTCGGGAGGCATTGTTAGACAGTTTTGTATGCCCTTAGCTCCAATCAGTTTTGATGTACTTTTGATATTTAATATAATTAAATAAAGTACATGTTTGATTCATGTTGTGTGGTATGCTTCTGTGTAAGACACTAAAACTGGACACTCAATGAAACTTGTGTTAGTTTTAAATGTTCACAGCCGTTGGATAAGTCTGGGGAGATTTATCTTGCCAAGGCTGACACTGGTGTGCTGCCAACTGTTGGGGTGGCTTGTCTCAGCCGCCA